TAGACTAATAAGATGCAAAAAGTAGACAAATTTGCTTACCTCTCAAAATTGTCCTGGCTTTCTAATAGCGACAAGAACCATTACAAATTCATCTAAGCTAGTCGTTAACTTTCCCACAGGAACGAATTTTGTACTGTGAGTGAAACTGATGATATTCTGTTCAGAATACGTTATACAATATGTCTTTTGATAGATGAAAACCTTGACTTCTATTGGTTATAGGTAATATATAATGAAATGCAAGAGAGAACTATCAAGGAATTGTGAAAGAGAGGATGTGTGGCAGTAGGGGTCTGATTTTCTATTTTATAGCTCTGTAAGCAAACAAAATTGAAAGCTATAAAAATTGTGGTTTGTTTGAACAATAACGATTTTATAGAGTATTTCACATTTAATATTGTACATTTTCGAGGGGTGATGGATAAAATAGGGATGATGACATGCTAAGACAAAATGTGTCACATGGGTCACACTAGTGGAAATTCAGGATTTTTTAAATATTGCCTTGTAGAATTAAGAACATAAAACTTTTATACATTCAATAGATGGTGCCAAATTGTTTATGAATTATGTTTATATTTACATTTTCTATAGCTTTCAAAACAATTAACATGAATATTTTCCTTTTCATTTGTCAAAATGTTAAATACTTTAACAATTCTTTATTTTTTCTTTTAAGCATCATACCTATAGTTCTTTGTATTTTGTGTTGTTTTTTTTTTATTACTTTTATACAGTGGCACACATGACATATTTATATGAAAAGTTAGTATCATAGTCAACCTTACTGCAGAACTTTTTTTATTAATACTTGTGAATTACATTTTAGCTTCAGAAAACCTCAGCACATATATGAAACAAAACATTAGCATGCATGGCTAGTTAAAAATAACTTTACAGTAGTTTCTGATTAATAAAATTACATGTTGGGTTAATTTTTGTTTATTTCATAAAATTAACATCCATTATTTTTTTAAGGTTTATTTACCAGCCTCAGGGTAAATTAATAATCCTACATATAAGCTTTACTTTATACAAGACTTAATGCAGTGGATAAGTATGCTTGGGTTGTGCCTAATCTTGAACACACAACAGGTCTGAGAATATACATCCTTTAAAATTCTAACAAGCTATTGTGTCAAAACTTTTGCATCAGTGGAACCACTTACTTTCTGTGCATACAAACCTATGTATGTAGTGTTATCTTTCAGTTTAATATACTACAGTATGTCAAAATTACATGTATTCCATAAAAGGTGTTTAGCAAGAAAGTTTTCATCATCAGCATATGATGATGTGGTGGTAATTAACACAAATTCATTGTGATGCAAGTCCACATATGCATCCTTTATTGTTTCCAAAATTGTAGTAATTACATACATGTAAGTGCTTGTTTTCAGTCATGTTGTTTCTTTCAAAACAGCAATAAATTCACAATCAGTCTACTATATACAGTAATTTAGTGACAACAGCTTTGAATAACAGAAAAGTTTTTTGAATTAAGATTTATACATAAAGATGCTTTTAACAATGTATATTTTTTAATAAAAGTATAGAGCTATTGGGAGTATAACAGATAAAATATTTCTGAGTTCCTGAGACAGTGAAATTCCAAATACTTGTAGTTATAAACTTTTTCTGAAGATAAGCATTATTTTGATATAGAATATTTTAGTGTTAATTGTTACTCTATAAACTGAAATACAGCTACTTTTAGTTAAATTTACAATTATTGAGTAGGTAGATTGGAAAGATAATAAAGACTAGTCAACTTCAATATTGTTAAATGTAGTTCAGGAAAAAGTGAGGTAGTTTTATAGTGCCTGATAGGTACCAGCACAGGCTCGGTCACTGGGATCTGCTTGTTATAGTTTTCATACTATAACTTTTAAATTAGTAAGCATATGTTAACAAAATTTGGCAGATTATCAGTAAACATTACCAATGCTTTCATATGCACAATATACAAAT